GAAACTAATAACAAGAAACCCAAGCCATACAATTTTTTTATATTATTTGCTTATAAAATAAATTGATCCATAGCACAAACATGGTCAAAGAGTCCTTCCTGGAAAAAAAAAATCTCTTTCATAACACATTTTCATTGATGCTGCTGCAGCACAATACAGTCTCTGGGTATAAAGTATGTAACCACCTGAGAAAGACGTGTAAACAACTACCACTGAATCCATTTCCATTGGTGAACACGTCTCTCCAAAGCTGTGGACATTAAGTTGTCACTATGACAATTTCTCTTTGGTTGGCTGCAAGGATTTGCTCCAGTTTAGTTGAAAGAGGCATTAGTGAGCTCCAGTACTGATAAGAGGTAAAGGGACCGGGCTCGCAGTTAATATTTAAGTTCATCCCAAAGGAAGATGAGCTTTAAGTCGGGTCTTTGTGCAGGTTCCTCTGCACGAAAATAGGGAAAACCTCTTTGGCGGCATGATAAAAGGCACTGTCATGTTGAAATACATTCAAAAATGCTGCTGTTTAAAACTCTGTTTTGCTGGAGATGAGCCCGTGATAAATGCCTCCGGGCCAAATATATCTAGTCAGGGTTGTCTGCACACTTTAAGCCGCATAATATAATTTGGGCGAGTGTTACAGATAAAGTAAATCTCGTTTTCACCAAGCGTGATCAACCACACAAAACAGTTCCACCTCGTAACTTTCCACTGGGATAGAATTCGACTGCATTGGAAGTTGATGTCCAGTCCACTTACTGCAGTGAGATAATGAGAGCGTTTTGGCTCAGACCCCCAAATGTGTCATCCCGAATAAAAACCAACCTCCTCATTACTGAATTTCTGATTGAAACGTCAAAATGTACTAAAGCTACTTTCCAGATGGCTTGACTTATGTTGAAAGTTTTTACCAAAAGCCCACAGCAAGACCTCAAATCACTGCTGCCCTGCAGCTCCTCCAGCGGAGAGCAATTATTTGGAATTAAGCCCCATTCGCTGTTCAGCCAGCAGCAAGAACAAGGTATGGCCTGACAAGCTGTCAGCTGGGAAACACTTAGAAGAGCTGCAGACTGAATCTTCCATCCACCGAACCGTCTCTTTTATTAACCTTTAGGAGTGTTGACTTTTAACAAGTGCACTTCTCTTCTGCTGCCTGGTTACTATGTAACATCTTAACTAAGCAGACAGGTGAAAGAGGAGTTTGACACCTTCAAGGCTTCGGTGTTCACAACTGTTATGCTACAGCACAACAAGAAAGAGAAGAGATTTCTAACTAAAATCCAACTAACTCTAAGGACAATAAGTTAAAAATGCTATTATAGAAACTATAACCTCGACCACTATAATCCCTAATAGACTACAAAGCTTTTGCTAAAGCCTTTTTATCTGTAGCACTGCGACGAGCTTTAAATCTTCCACCATCACGGACTGTAAAGCCTGCAATTTAAAGCGAGGCAAGGAGAGACTGACCTGCAAGCAGCTGATGAGAGTTCACAGTTGGATTTAATCACCTGATCATAAACCCCTGAGAGTGCCTGGCGGCTGAAATGTCCTCAGGATGTGCATATGTTCCAGTAATTTGATGGAGCTCACTTTTATTTTTTGGCATCAATACAATGAGAACATTTGATTTTGTGTTTCTTGTATAACCAGAGAATGTGTTTTCTCTCTGCAGACCCTCCGTCCACAGATTTTACGACAGCTGTGTGCTTATGTTTGTCTCCGAGGCAGCTCCGCAGTGACCGAAAAAAAAACAGCAGAATAATTGGAAAATCAGGAAACAAACTGTGACAAGAAAAGTGTAGTTGTGTTGCATGAGTTCGGTGAGGTTTTGATCGTTTCCATGAGTAAACAACAGTTAGTGTGCGCGGGCTGAGGATATTTTATTTATCCCGCTCGCACTTTCGGTTCAGATTAACTTTACCTGACAGAATGAAGAATATGCCAGAAACGAAGGCGAGGATGGTGCGCTGCGGCCGAATGTGCCCGATATTGCTGATTACAAAGGCGGTGAAGACAAAGAGCAGGGAGACCATGGGGAAGGGAGTGGCGGTCCGGACCATTTCTGAAGAAAAGAAAGGAAGGAGGATTAGTAGGAGAAGGAGTGTGTGACACGAATAAAAACGAGGAAAACTTCAAACTCATAAAAGTTTAAGCCTTCAGAAATGGTCACATTAATCAAGAATGATTTAAAATGTTACCAAATTATTTCCTGAATTAAAAATAAAGCTTTGACACATGAAGTCGATAAAGTGGATTTTTTCATACTGTGCAGAATATTTCTGTAAAGCCCAAAAATCTGATGTCATGTTGCTGCACATAATAACAACGTTGTGACTTTGTGTTTTGGCCCGTCTAGGCGC